CATCCCGGATGGTTCCATGCCCTGGGGGGGGGGAAGCTGGTCTCCTCCGGGCCCACCTCGCGTGTCTCCAACCGCCTCCCTGGCAGGTCGCCCCTCCTCCCCCCTTATCTCGGCTGAAGCTCCCCAGGGCATGGGCGAGGCGCTTCCGTCCTTCCTCCGGTCCAGCCGGCTTCCCCTCCCCGCCGTCCGTGTGGGCGTCTGTAGTGCAGGCCGAGCTTGGCTCGTCCCGCTCCAAGGGTCTCGCTGGCTCTGCGGGGGCGGGGGAGAGGAAGAACCCGGGAAGTTTATGAGCTGGGCTGGGGAGGGGCGAGGCGGACCGCCGGCAGCAAAAAACGTGCATCGCAAACACCTTCCAGACCGAGATCCCTTTCGATGATTCCCATCTGGAAGCGGCTCCCATAATTATTGCGCGCAGGGCGGTGGGGTGTGCGTGTGTGAGAGAGATGAATAGGTTGTTAATTCGGAGCTGAGCGCTCCAGCTCTCTCTCTCCCTCTTGGCTTCCCCACCCCTCGAACACGCCCGCCGCCCAGAGCCTGGGCTCCCTTCCCCACTTGTTGCTCTTCCCGCGGCCGGCAAGAAAGCAAGCGCCAAGGTGCCCGGACGGCTCTCTTTCCTCTGGTGGGGAACCGGGGTGAGGAGTCTCTGTGTGTGGGGGGAATCGATGCTGCGGGATTTCGGGAAAAGCTGAGCTTGCCTGGTGAGGCTGGGCGAGTGGATGACTCCGGAGGGACTCTCTCTCCTTCTCCTGTGCGGCCATTCCAGGGGGGGGGCAAAGGGCAGCTGCTTCCTAAGGCAGCCGGGGCTGGAGATGATCTGAGCCCCCCCACCCAGCACTAAAGATCTGCCCCCTTCTCTTTCTCCCCTCTAGAAGTCCCTAGGAGCCTCAGCTCAAAGTGGAGCCTCGTGGATGCTGGGCAGGGCAATGAGGTCCCCGTCCCTCTTCTTGGGTCTGGCCATCTTCTCTCTTCTCCAAGTGGTGATAGAGGCCAGCTCATGGTGGTAAGCTTTTAAAAATATGTCTATGTATATATACACACCGGTGGACCAAGTTTCCTTTATGAAACTCCGCAAAAGGAAAGAAATAGAAGATGAGCAAGGCCTTGGTTGGTCTCGCAAACACTGTCGATCTCAGGGCAGGAATCCAACTATTCCTCCCATCCCTTTAGTAGGGAAATGGGCTTAACTGGTTGTTTAAATCCTTGTTTGTAACAAAATGAAGCTGAAATAGTAATAAGATGATTTTCTCTCACATCATCCGGATTAATGACAGAGTGAATGGGAACATACTTTGTGATTGTTCTACATTATGTTGGGTATAACGTTCTTAATGTTTGTTTCAAAGAAAGTAAGAATTAAGTAAATCATAAGCTAGGATTTCTGCTTTCCTAAAAGTTTTTTTTCTTTAATAGATGATTTGCTAAGGCTCTCCCCCCACCCATTTTTACGAATTAGATTCAATCCACTTGTGAATGATTCTTGGTTGTGCATTTGAAATGTCAGCCTTTTCTGACACGATCCCTTTATCTAGCAATTCTGTTTTGAGCCACATCTCACTTGCACAGGAAATTTTCAATTTTTATGAACTGTCAGAGTGAACTGTTTGAGGTCAGTTCTCAAGCCAGTGGTATTTATAATTTTTTTTTAAAAATGTGGTACATTATACAGAAGTATTTTATGGCTGACTCGATCTACAAAGTTGTGGGCGGATCATCTTGTACTTTCTTAAAATAAAAATGCGTAAGGATTATATGAAACCTGAAAGCTAGGAGGAAAGATGTGCTAGAGGGGGGCAAGCATCATATTTAGATAGCGACATAAATTTGATGCTTGTCTCAGTAACTTCATGCATATGGTTTGCTTTAACTTTCCAACCATTCAACGAAGCTGAAGATTCTCTCCCCTCCACCACCATTTCCCACATTTTGGCTGCTGTTTCCAGCACAACAAGGGATTTACTTCCAAGTAAATGTGTTTGAGGTTGAATCCCACATGCATTCGTATTTGCAGAATTCACAGACCGCATTTAGAGCTGTGTTCCACACTGATTTCGTATTTGCAGAATCCATGACCTGCATTTGAGGCTTTGCCTTGTTAATGGAATTCCTCTTTTTACACAGGTCTCTGGGCATGAACCACATGAATCCTATGAACCCTGTTCAGATGCCAGAGGTATACATAATCGGAGCCCAGCCATTGTGCAGCCAGCTGGCGGGGCTTTCTCAAGGACAGAAGAAGCTCTGCCACTTGTACCAGGACCACATGCAGTACATTGGAGAGGGAGCAAAGACGGGGATTAAGGAATGCCAGTATCAGTTCCGCCACAGACGATGGAATTGTAGCACTGTGGATAATAACTCTGTTTTTGGCAGAGTCATGCAGATAGGTAGGAAGTGCCTTGGAGGATATGTGTGCAGTATTTACTTAATGTTCTGTGTTAAAAGGTCTTGCCAGGTTTCTTATGCGCCAGTGAAACCTGGCAAGAAAGGGAAAGCATTGCTGCCTTCTGCCAGTGGCAGTCTCCAGTGGGAAGTCAGCGGCAATGTGAGCCAGCTGGTGATGTGGAAAGGGAATTCTGTACTTCTCAGCTTGCCTTACTGCGGGTTAACATCAAGTCATATCTAAATGTGGTCGTGGTGGAAAGAAATATAAGGAGGAGCGTTACAAGGTCATTTTCATGGCTGGGATACTGAAACTGCACGACAACTGGATTCGACTCCAGTTAACAGCACATCAGTATCTTCTGAACACTTGTTTTTTATATGCAGTCCATTCGCACAGAGTCTTTCTCGGAGCGAAAGCATTTGGGTAATAGTAGAGTTCTGTTGAGCAGTGAAATACGTTGGCACTTGCAACCGATGTGCTTCTTACAAAGCTAAGTGAATAGGTAGGTGGTTGCATGCCTCAAAGTAATTATTACTGTCAATTAAAAATGCTATCATAAGGATCTTCCCTAGCCTTGTGTTCTGGCTCGTGTTGGAAAGCTCATGTCAGCACAAACACTGCCACCACATACAATGGAAGGACTCGTTTCTCAAATCCCTTAAGTGAAAAGTTGGGTTTGAAGGTAGCACATTGATCACTCCGATCTTGAGGGGTTGTTCTCCAGTTATAATAACAACATCTGTACCTCCAAACCCACTGTTCTCTCTTTGCTAAAAACTTTTGGAAAATGAACAACTCATAACTTGGGAACAGCAGCCGTTCAGAATACTAGGAGCTAAATCTAATTCTGAAGTCTTCTTTCTGAAACAGGATAGGAAAGGATTGGAATGAGTTTAAAATTAGATTAAAGGTAACTTCACTTATGAATTGAATAGGCTTCTGCATTGCTTGAAGGGATGCTGTTAAGTCACATTGACTCTAGAAGTTAATTTTATGTAAAAATAAGCTTTACAAAATCTCAGATTGAACATTTTCAATGCCATTTTTAAATAAACGCAGTAAGTGGAAACGCTTCTTTAATGACTTAAGTCTTGTTTTGTAGATACTGTGGAACTTACAATATGAATAGGTTGCCATTGGCCTGTTCTGAAAACCCAAAACACATAGAATGGCATGCATAATTGGAATCTTAAAACACCAGCTTCTGATGATGCTAGCAGCTTCTCATAACCCTTATGTTCTGACTGCTAAGCTATACAGGAGTGGCACTCTGGTGATGTCTAAATTGCCATGGTAAAACCCATGACTATAGAAATATTAAAAACTGGTCCCCAATTGTTGCCTACCCGTAATACATCTGCATTTATTTGAGCTGGTATAGCAGGGTAATTAACCACTTACATTAATTGAAAATAGAGGTGTTGAATGTGTGTGTCTAGCTCTTAAAGAATCTGGAAAGTATATATTCATTTTAAAAAGTATATGTTGTTGTTTCATAGTGGGGCCTATTTTTTTTTAAACCCCCAAGAGGGTAATTTTATTGGTTTTTCAATAGACTACATAACTACAACAGAAAAATATAGGAAGGGGGACTACAACTAGGGATAAAGAAAAGATACTCACACTAACTAAAATCCCAAGAGTAGGAGATCATATCCGTGTTAAACTACATGTTAGTAAATACGTGTTAGTATAACAATATATGGAGCTGTGGTGGCTCAAGTGGTTAAGACGCTGAACTGCAGGCTGTGGAAGGTCAGTAGTTCAGCAGTTCGAGACCCGGGTGCCGCATGACG